TCTACCGAGGGCAATAAAGTGAGACTCTGTCTCTTAAAAAAAAAATGTATTTAAGTGTTTTTAAAAAGAATTTATTGTCTAAGATAGAAAATGTCATTTTATAAATAGCAACCTTCTATTTGTATATTCTCAGTTCCAGTTTATCTCTTCAAAAGCTTCAAGGGCTTTTTTTCCCCCTTGTTCTGTTGAAGTTTTATTTTTGTTGAGTTTATATTTTTAAACCCATTTGAAGTAGCTGACCCTAAATGCGCCAAGTAGCTACATGTAATAAAAACTATAGCTAAGTGGCTTATACTTGATCCTTGTTGCTGATTGTCTATTTAATTTTGATTCTGAGTGGAAATAACTCAAATATGATCACTTAAACCTGTTGAATATTTTTTTTCTCTTTTTTTTTTAGTTAAGCAAAACTGGCTCTAAAGATGATGAATAGTGCTTGGAATTTGAGACAAGGAAAGAAGATTCTTCACCAAGTAAACTGGGCTCATAATCTTTCATTACTATTTTATGGTATCAAGGTGGCTTTTTATAAAACAATTTTTTGTATGTTTCCTACATTTAAAATGTTGTAAGCTGAAAGTTCATGAAGAGAGCTGGTTGTATTAAATTATTTTCACAAACTTGCCTTAATAAAAGGTGAAAATGTTACTGTTTAATATACTTTAAAAAGCCTGTCAAGCTTTATAAATGGACAAATATGGTGAAAAATAACCAGTGTTAATTTATGTGATCTTATTCTAGTGGATGTGGTATTTTTTAAAGGAATATGAAGCCCTTTCAAACTGTCATCCAATGGAGTAGAACGTTGACTGAACAGTTACTCCCGAGCATGATCCATTTTAATAGCCCTCTAAATAAAGTCTTCATGTCTTCTTTTGCTTAATTACTAAACCATAAATTGCTTCAGAGAAATTTAAATACCAATATTTGAACTTTATACATACATGGTACTCTTTGTAATTCCTTTTGATTTTTCAAGAGTGAATTACTTCCCTTTAGTAAATTGGTATCTGTTTATACTTTTCTCATGAATTGGGTCAAGATGTTTGATAACAGCTTTTAATGGTATATAGAATAGGAGAACATAAAGTCAAATCTGCAAATATTTTGGAAAACATTAGATTAAAGAGTGCTGGCTCTCACCTACATTTCTCTTTGCTGCATATACCAGGACAGAAGTAAAAGATGCCTTAATATTTCATTTTTGTATTGTTGAAAACAGTTGACTTTAATAAATTCCTATTTATCTGCACTACTGTGTGTTTTTAGTTGTTGGATAACTGAGGTCCTCTATATTATTCCACGGAAAACCACATTTCAAATCATTTATTTTTGGGGTATCTTTTCAAGTGTTAAAATGTATTTCTCAATCTGAGCATCTTTTTAATAATGTACAAGGAAGTCTTCCAAATGCTAAACTATTATAATGCTTGATTTTTTTTAATCATTAGTAAAGGAAACTATTGGTATAGTTTTATCAAGAAACGTTACTGGTGTTTGCATGTGATTTATACTGATTTTTGTATATGCTCCTCAGCTTTAAGAACAGATAGAAGCGGGTGCTATGGCTCAAGTCTGTAATCCTAGCACTCTGGGACGCTGAAGTGGGTGGATTGCCTGAGCTAACGAGTTTGAGACCTTCCTGAGCCAGAGCAAGACCTCGTCTCCAAAAATAGTCGGGTGTTACGGCAGGTGCCTGTAGTTCCAGCTACTGGGGAGGCTGAGGCAAGAGAATCACTTGAGCCAAGAGTTGCTGAGCTATGACGCCAGGGCATTCTACCTAGGGCAACAATTAAAAAAAAAACAACACATAGAACTATTGCTGTATCTGAAAAAATAGTTAGTTCCTCAAGCTACCTATGCAGCTTGGGTCTGAATTTTTAAATAATTCACTTCTAAAGAAGTTACATTAGCATAAAAACAGTTTTGAGTTGTATCCCTGGATTTTAATAGTTAACTTTGGAGTTGCTTAAATCATTAAAATTATAAAGTAAGTATAATTACAGTGGAGGAGTTTAATCTAATTTTATTTTATTAATTAATATAGAGCAAAACATGTTAAAATTCAGGACCACTGGTATATGCCAACTTTTGTTATAGGATTGTATATGTGTAGTTTTTATGGTGTTGATTTGTCTGTTGTTTTTTTTTTTTTTTAATCTGCAAATAGAAGAAAATGTTTTGCTCTGAAGATCTGAAATTGTTCAGGTTTATCTTGGCTCTTAGATTACAAAGTATAATGCAAGTTATATACCAATGAACTATTTTTACTCTTTTTACATAAAATGTACAAATTTCTAGAGGTGGCCATGACAGTGGTGCCTCTGGTTACCTTATGTGAAACACTTGAACAGTCTCATCAATATCCCATCACTGTCTAACACTCCCAGGATATTTTCTTAATGTCTGTTTACTTAAAATTGTGTGGAGTGACATAATAAGCAATAAAGTCTGAATTACACACAGTGATTTTTCTGCACATTTTATTTCAAATCACTATTTCAGAGACAACTGTTGATTTTAGAAATCTGGATAGCCTTGCAGTCTGAGATGTACAATTCTACTAGAAACTATTCAAAATGTTGGATTACGGCTCGGCACCTGTGGCTCAAGTAGCTAAGGCGCCAGCCACGTACACCCAAGGTGGCGGGTTCGAATCCAGCCCGGGCCTGCCAAACAACGACAGCTGCAACCAAAAATATATAGCCGGGCGTTGTGGTGGGCGCCTGTGGTCCCAACTACTCGGGAGGCTGAGGCAGGAGACTCACTTGAGCCCAGGAGTTGGAGGTTGCTGTGAGCTGTGATACCATCACACTCTAGCCAGGGTGACAACTTGAGGCTCTG